GGCCCAAAAGGTTGTATCTTCTCCCCTCTGCTCACCACAGGCCCTCGATTATTCTCCTAATCTGTACTTAAAGACTGAGGTGGGAGGGGCCAACCAACTAGAAATCGATAGAGGAATATAGAGGTACACACACACACACACACTTTTTACCTCCCCATCAATTTCCTCAATGAGAGTAAAGCTTCATTTGAACATTAAGTAACGCTAAATGGCGTGTAAGTAACGTTTTGTTGCGGGTTCGTAGTTTGCTGCATTCGCAAGATTAGAAGAGATCCACCGGGAGGTTTAAATGACAATATGTATATATTCAGAACCAGATCTAGCTAAAAGCTTATACAACACTGACACAGGCTGAACCCTCATCACTTCGGCCATCTTTAGCCGTTACCGTACTGAACGTGTGTGCCCTGCGATTAAAGGGTTAATACTAGTGTTATATTAGACATCAGGCAATAAACATAACATTTCTGCATTACATATGTACTGTAACAAAATATAAATAAAATAAATATAGGGGGAAAAAACACTGGGAAAAATGAGGGTCACAAAGAAAAAAGGACAAATTTCAAGACAATAAGCAAGATATGGAGAAATACATCTGTGTACTCTCCACGCACATCACGCACATCAAGAGAGAATAACAAATGCGGAATAAAACCAATAATAATAATAATAAAATGGATTTTGATGGCGAAATGTGCCGAGTCGTGTTTTGGCAAAAATAAATATTATGTATTTTTTGCGTTACACCAGTCAACAAGGTGGTAATTCAAGTTTTTATTGGAATTTTCTTTAAGAAAAAGGCAAACTTTTTACCTCGAGCTTCGCTGTATGCGAAGGTGCGCGGCAGGTAGTGCAGTATTAAATGCCGAAACCAACTCTACAGAAAATGCTGTTTAACTGCGTCAGTGCCGCACTGCACACCTTGCAGGGTCTGTCTGCGGCTTGCAGGAACGTGAAGGGAAATGCTATATTTTAGGAACTCTGTGTAAATAATACATCATGCTTCCTTTCTCATTCATTACTGCTCGGGATTCTGCATGGAAGTGATTTATTTGCAGATGAAGCCTTTATGTGACCTAACGTTCCGCCATCGTCCCCTGGGCCGGTATCTCCGAGAGCTGGACCATGCTGCAATTTCCACTAAACACACATTATAGATGCACTTTCTGTTAAATGTGACTAATATAAAGGGGGCTGGGAATAGCACAGAAGCAATTCTAATGGGTAGAAACGTCTGGGAGGAAGGGTGAAAAATCATTAGGAGTGATTAGCGTTTTAGTGCAAAAGCAATAAACAATCATTGGTGGCCCGCAAGGTGACTTTATGGGAAGCCAAAGAGCCGGCAGTTCATGAAAGATATTGGGGCAGATGGCTGGACGTCACGTGGGCTAGTCACAGTATTTATGGCGTAAGAGTATTGAGGTATAGGAATGAGCCTAAAGTTCAAATTGATTTGTTGTTCTTTTATTACAGATAATTGTAGTGATTAATATTTATGCAATTGTAAGGAGCCCTTTTTAACCCTTGCTGCGTGCTGAGTAAGTGTATGCTGCACAGGTGTCTGTGGGTGCTGTCCGTCAGTTTTTTAATGGAGTAGGAGGATGATTAGAAAAGTGGAGTCACATGAAGGGCTGCGTATTTGGAGCAATACACGATGTCCATTTTTTGATCACTTAAATAAATACAATCAAATAATGACAGAATGTAACCGTCACGTCTGATTAAATATTCCCAACTGAGTTAGAATTCCAGTGCGATCACATGATGTGCATGGGGACTATTTCTCTTATGCACGCCTTAGAAAAAAGCGAAACACGGCAAAATTGTGCGTATTTCACTTGCCGTATGCCTGATGCGAAAAGGCATGTTGAAACACAAGAGCTTCCAAAAGATAAAAGCTTGATTATCAATGTATAGATTTGCAGAGTGTTCGATAGTCCTTCTATCCCCTTCTTAACCCAGGTGTGCATATTATCTGGACATTGGGACTCCATGTAGACGACCCGCAAGAGGCGGTTTTAAAGACACAAGCTCCTCTGCTTGTGTTTGCCTCTTCGTATAATGGCTACAATTCTTGGCGGATTTGGAAGCCATGTTAGTTGGTTTATACAGAAAGTGTATTAAGAGGAAGAAAATATTGAGATTTTGTTAGGTTCTAAGAATTTTACAGGGTCTGTAACTGTGATGGATTCCCTATCTCTGAATGACAGGCTGCTAATTTTGTCGCTTATTTGATATACCCTATAGTTCGGTATACAAGCACCTAAGACCTATCTATTTTGTATACCAAAAAAAAACTACCGAACGGCCAGATCACCCAGGGCATGTGTGTGCTGCTCATTGACCTCTTTCACCTTTGTTCGCACCTCTGTAACCGCAATTATACCAACATTCTGAGCGGTCGGTTGGGTGGCCGCCAACACATACAGAGCGGTGTTTGGTCGTCGAGGGCATGGAACTAAAATCGGGCACTCGACGGCACGAACACCGCTAGAAATTCCACAGCAGTTCGGTAAAATACATGAGATCTGAATGGCATACGGTGGGAGCAAGCTCCCGAACAAGAAATAAAGACTGACTGTATCACAAACGGTTAGGTTCGGTACTTTTGTTATATTTGTCATTCCCGAAAGAGACCGACCACACAGTCTGATTTCGTGGAATTCTATTGGGGCAGAAGACTCGTTTGCGGTCGGTCAAACTGAGACTTCTATGGAAATCCTGGACCCCTGAACCGATATGGGTGATTTTTGCATATGTTAGTCCCCCAGATCGGGGCTATCAGGGGATATGACTATATTGGGTTTCCATGTGTTTTGGGGGTATTTTTAATATGTATAAAAAGTATGTTTTCTGTGCCTGGAGATAACAGAGTTTAATACAGTGCTTGACTCAATTATCTCCCAGGTACAGAGGAGGGATTAACCTATTTTGTATGGCAGTGTCCTGGACCTGAGAGCCAATGTAATCGTGTGTTTTTTTACTGTAGTCTAGTCTCAGGTCCAGAGGGGATTGCCCCTTGCATGGGGACCTGCGTATAAGGCCAGTTGTGGCTGTCAATAAACCAGTTCCTGCTTACCCTCAACATAGAGTCTCATCTCATGTTTGTAGGAACCACTATACTAGCTATAATCACCAGCTCTTGTAAGAGCTACACTGCTATACCTTCTATACGCTCTTGGAGGAGAGGTCTTCTCACTGGGAGCTGGATCCAGGAGTTTGGTCCACGTTGAGAAGGGACGGCGAGACCCCAGCCAAGCTGCGGCAGCTATGGTGCTCATGGTGTCCGGTGCGGCGCTTATGGTACTCGGTGATAGCTGGGAAGCAGCAGTCGGGGTGCCAGGCGGTCCGCCACAGTAACCCTTTAAGCTGCCATGGACTTATGCTGGTAACACATCCTGCTTTCCTTAATCTTTGTATATGTTCAATGCAGAGAACAATTAATGTTCAATTAAAGCAGACCAGTCATTATGAAGTTTAAGAAAGAAGTGCTTTTTTAATGCGGGTACAGCGTATATATTAAACAAACACAGTTTTCATAGGGGTGTATCCAACAGGAGAAAAATCAACCAACCAGAGATGTTTAATGCAAATAGTATGATTATTACTGTGCTAGGCTAGCACGGCTTCTGTTAACTGAAGTACATGGCGGTCTTTGATTTAGGAACCCAATTAAAATTTGCAGGTGGTTAGAAAGAATAGATATTGTATTTACAAAAGATAGTGAAAACGAGTGTGGCCAGTTTGGCCTGTGTGAAACAAGGGGGTTTCTGCTTGCCACAGATTGCAGACAGGAGAGGAAATTCTTGCTTTTAACCCCTGCAGACGTGGAAAGACTTAACCAAGGCAAAGACATTTTAACCCTTTCAAAGCATGAGTATCTTGTATTATAATCAGGCTTACTAACCGTTCAATCTTCCAAGCCCTGTATATAGTATATACTTTTAGCTAGTAATAAGAAATACAGGAGTAGAAAGCAGGACATGAGACGGACGCCCTGTAGCATAATATAAATATATATTATATATAGCTCTGTATGTCTAGGGGAATATTCACTAAGCATTGCACAGGTAAAACAATTCATTCTCCTTTAGCACCGTTTCTAGGAATTACTGCAGATCACAAACAATCCAAGGATACAACCAAAATGTTACATAGTCAAACGTTGAGCAAACCTTACAAAGAATGGGGGCCAACACGGATTGCAGATACGTAATAAGAGTTTGTTGCAGAGAGAAGGTCTGACCAAAAAACAATAAATGTACCCATGAAAAAGACATTTCACTTCCACTAGTTCACAGATACGTCCTGGGATCTCAGTGTTTTTAAGAGGTGGTGGTTGAGGTTTTCGGCCAAATCCATTTTGATTCTGAGTAGGTTACCCGCCATCGTTAGCAGGAAAAGCAGCCGTGGGCAGCTAGCTCGCATTGATAATCTGTGATAACGGTGTAATAACAGTGATCTGATGGCTAGGAGGCAAGATGGATTACATTGTTTTAGCAATTAAAAAAAAAAATTAAAGTCTCTATTTAAAGTTATACAAACTGGACAGTAAGTAATAAGCGGTTCCTGTTAGAACAGACATGATGGTATTGTTAAAGCTGTTAAATGGGTGCTGCTGATGTAATTTTATTTAACCACGTTCCCCCCAATCATTGCTTTTGGGGTGTTTTCTTTTGGTTTAGTGTAGACAGAGAATCTCATCCTCAATAAATCACATTCCCATTGATCCTATTTCTCTTGGACACACTAACCCTTCTCCTGCCACCCCTGCTGACAGACAATTCCTTGCTCACACTGCCTTTTTAAGATGATTTAAACATCTAACCCCTGTGAAATCTTCTCACATCCCCACATTAATAAACTGCCAGGAACTGTATCTCTATAAGCATCCAAACGATATCCGATACAGGTACTGGTGCTGCGATGTCCGGGGGGCCATGATATGCCATGCTATCATGTAACAATACTGCTAGACCTCAGCCAGCATAGCACAGAAAGGGTTAAAGGGTTGCCAGACGCCTGTAGCAGGCCAGGCCATAACGGTCCCTCTGATTTGCTGTGAATGATGATGGGAACAATTAAAAAAAAATAAGATGGCATTAAAATGAGTAATGATGGTAATAATTACATGTCTGTAAGTAAGAGTGTCAGTCAGTCAGCAAGCGGCTGTATGGCTTGATCACAAACCCATCAGGAAAAGAGGGGCTCCAACAGAGAGGGCGGCGCATCTTCAGAACATCAATTGTTCTCTGTACAAATGCCCCCAGGGGGCTGGCTTGCTAGGCATTATGGGTAACTTACAGATGGTTGACGAGCGGCTGGGGAATGAAGGGAGGATTTCAGAGTAAAAGTGAGAGGTTTGCTGGTTCCATGCCAGGATGCTGTCGGTGCACTTTGACGAATGGCCGTGAATTTAAGAACGGGTGCAGGATGAAGCCTCATCAATTTCCCTTCCATTGGGCTAAACTCCAACTCACACAGGGAATGGCCGCAACTGGCAAAATAACTGTAACCAACAACGAGCTGCGTGTGAGCATAGCTAGAATGGCAATCACTTAGCATCCAATAACCAGCCGCAAGTTAATACGTATTTATTAAAATCCTTACACTTTAACGTTCCAAAATCAAAATACTGAATAGAATTGCGTTATGGTGAAATTATACTAACTAGAAGTGCGCACAGAAAATATCACGTGATATATAAAGATGGGAAAACTGAAAAGCATTCTCCAGCTTTCTGTGAATGGAACTTTCCCTGCAAAGTATTTAAATATTACAGCCTGTTCACCGCACAAACCACATCCGTGGGTCACGAATATCGCAAGGAGCTTGTTAACTGAGGGTTCGCTGTCCTTGTCTCATTCACTAATCTACTACCATACGTCACAGTGATGGTACTCCTCCCAGGGAGCACAGGATTTGGGCTATATAAACATATTAGCAGTTCCTTGTTATTTTACTGAGTTAGCAAAACACTGTTAGGGCTGTATGTGTAGAAACCAAAAACTGGACATTTAGACATATATTCAGATATTTTGGCGAGTGCAGAGGAGACATTTTCCTGTTTTTGTTACACATATGCCAGTCGGACCCTGGTGTGGCCATCAGAGGCTCTCCAACTCATAATCAACAACACCCATGACACCAACAAGGTATATAACATGTGGCCCATACAGTCTGGAAATGGTACAGTAATATAATCTGGAAGCAGGTGCAGCTCCATCCATATTCATTCTGTTATGATGCTGGAAGGACCTGCTCAGTGGCTCCCATCGTTCTATTATTCTAGCGGCAAGGATTCACACAGATCACCGCAATATAAACCCACCCTCTCATTCAGTAATATAACAAGGCAATGGGGGTACAACTTACTGTATGGTCCATACACACATAGCACCTCGGACAGTGGGTTAATAGTCTCAAATCAGGACTGTCTCTGAGATCGGGACTGCTGGGTCCTATAAGCAACTTTACAGTGATACAGTCCCTTTAAATCTCGTTAATATAGTTAAATACCCATAACTGATCTAAGATGGCAGACAACAGATACACATTATGTCTGTCTGAGAAATCGGTCATTTCATGAACTCCATCTGCTTTTAATGAAGGAATCTGTCTTGGAGTCTGAGCCAGCTTTCGATAAATGAAGGCGACAATTGATGGATTGATTACTGTATTAAAAACACATGCGCAAATTATACTTCACTGGCCAGATCAGAGAATTGGATCATTTTTTATCGGCCGTCCCTGTAACTCCCACTTTACTGAGAGGTCTGGCACACAAGACGGTACAGGTCACATAAGACCCCACCGGGATTTCAGGAGTATTTTAACAGGTGGTTCAGATAAAGGATGGGTAGTACATTGAGACAAGACATTGTGACTTTATATAAACCTCGGCTCCTTCAAACCTCGGAAAAGTTGTGTATAGATCGGGCAAATGTGTCCTGGAAAACAAAACGCTCAGCTTTAGCACCACAGATATAACAGAGCTGAAAAGATGGCTCTGGCCAAATCACCTGAGTTCAAGCAGGCTTGCCCTGTGACTCTGAGCAAGGTGCGTCGCACAGTGTCCTGTTGGGGCCTTCATATCCACAGAAACATAGAATGTGACGGCAGATAAGAACCATCTAGTCTGCCCAATTTTCTAAATACTTTCATTAGTCCCTGGCCTTATCTTATAGTTAGGATAGCCTTATGCCTATCCCACGCATGCTTAAACTCCTTTACTGTGTTAACCTCTACCACTTCAGCTGGAAGGCTATTCCATGCATCCACTACCCTCTCAGTAAAGTAATACTTCCTGATATTATTTTTAAACCTTTGTCCCTCTAATTTAAGACTATGACCTCTTGTTGTGGTAGTTTTTCTTCTTTTAAATATAGTCTCCTCCTTTACTGTGTTGATTCCCTTTATATATTTAAATGTTTCTATCATATCCCCCCTGTCTCGTCTTTCCTCCAAGCTATACATGTTAAGATCCTTTAACCTTTCCTGGTAAGTTTTATCCTGCAATCCATGAATCAGTTTAGTAGCCCTTCTCTGAACCCTCTCTAAGGTATCAATATCCTTCTGAATATACGGTCTCCAGTACTGTGTACAATACTCCAAGTGAGGTCTCACCAGTGTTCTGTACAATGGCATGAGCACTTCCCTCTTTCTACTGCTAATGCCTCTCCCTATACAACCAAGCATTCTGCTAGCATTTCCTGCTGCTCTATTACATTGTCTGCCTACCTTTAAGTCATCAGAAATAATCACCCCTAAATCCCTTTCCTCAGATGTTGAGGTTAGGACTCTATCAAATATTCTGTACTCTGCCCTTGGGTTTTTACGTCCAAGATGCATTATCTTGCACTTATCCACATTAAATGTCAGTTGCCACAATTCTGACCATTTTTCTAGTTTACCTAAATCATTTGCCATTTGGCTTATCCCTCCTGGAACATCAACCTTGTTACATATCTTAGTATCATCAGCAAAAAGACATACCTTACCATCAAGACCTTCTGCAATATCACTAATAAAAATATTAAAGGGACACTCAATGAAGTGGTCTGGGTGCCAGGTCCCTCAGGTTTTAACCCTGCAGATGCAAACATAGCAGTTTCAGAGAAATTGCTATGTTTACATTGCAGGGTTAAGCCAGCCTCTAGTGGCTGTCTTCCGGACAGCCACTAGAGGCGCATCTGCGACGCTGGAGGCATATTTAGTTTAATGAGCAGTTTGGGTGTATAGATTATACCTCTGTAGTTTAACTGCGCAATTCAGTGCCATTTAGGAGTTAAATCGTTTTTGTTTCTGTTTATTCAGCCGTAGCCACACCTCCCCTGGCTGTGATCGGCACAACTTGAATGAAAACAAAATAGTTTCATTTTCAATTTGATGTAACTAACTTTAAAAGTTTTTATCTCCAGATTTGTAAATTGAACTTCAATTACATACAAGAGGATCCTGCTTGGTCTAGCGAACTATTAACAGAGCAGAAGATGAGAAATTCTAAGTTAAACATAATTTAAAATAAAGGAAGTGTAAACATTAGCTGAATCGTTACAGGAAGTGTTTAGAGAGGCTGTGCAAGTCACATGCAGGGAGGGGTGTCTAGGGTTGTATAAACAAAGTGATTTAACTCCTAAATGGCCAAGAATTGAGCAGTAAGACTGCAGGAGCATGATCTATAGAGCAAAACAGCATCATTAAGCTAAAGTTGTTCTGGTGACTATAGTGTCCCTTTAAAGATTGCAGTTTATTGATAAGCCTTCTATGTGCAACAGTGTCAAAAGCCTTACTGAAATCTAGGTAAGCAATTTCTACTGCACCACCCTGATCTATTATTTTAGTTACCCAATCAAAAAAATCAATAAGATTAGTTTGGCATGATCTGAAGTAAACCCATGTTGTCTCTGATCTTGAAATCCATGTGTTTTTAGATGTTCATCAATCCTATCATTTAACATGGTTTCCATCACTTTCCCCACTACTGAAGTAAGGCTTACTGGCCTATAGTTGCCCGACTCCTCCCTATTACCTTTCTTGTAAATGGGCACAACATTCACTAACTTCCAATCTTCTGGGACTATTCCTGTTAACAATGATTGGTTAAATAAATTTGTTAATGGTTTTGCTAGCACACCACCAAGCTCTTTTAATAGCTTTGGGTGTATTCCATCAGGTCCCATTGACTTATTTGTCTTTACTTTTGACAGCTGAAATAGAACCTCTTCCTCTGTAAACTCACATGTAATAAATGACTCATTTATCCTTTTTCTTAACTGAGGTCCCTTTCCTTCATTTTCATCTGTAAATACAGAACAAAAATATTCATTGAGGCAGTCAGCTAGACCTTTATCCTCTTCTACATACCTTCCTTCTTTTGTTTTTAATCTAACTAATCCTTGTTTTACTTTCCTTTTATCATTTATGTATCTAAAAAATGTTTTATCCCCCTTTTTTTACTGACTGTGCTATTTTCTCTTCTGTATGTGATTTGGAAGCTCTTATAACTTGCTTAGCCTCTTTCTGCCTAATCTTATAGATCTGTCTATCTTCCTTACTCTGGTTTTTTTTATAATTACTAAATGCTAACTGTTTTATTTTTTACTATTTTGGCCACATCTGCGGAGTACCATGGTGGTTTCATGAATTTTTTGCTTTTACGGACAAGCCTAATGCAATTTTCTGTTGGTTTCAGTAGTGCAACTTTTAAATAATCCATTTTCTCATGGACTCCATTTAAATTGCTCCAGTCTGATAATGACTCCTCTACACATATTCTAATTTTAGAAAAGTCTGTTTTTCTAAAGTCTAAAACTTTTGTTTTTGTGTGGTGTGACTCAGTCACTGTTCTTATATTAAACCACACTGACTGATGATCACTGGATCCTAAACTTTAACCTACAGTCATAGGCGTGCTCAGCCTATTGCATTAGGGTGTGCACCCTAAAGCACAAGCACACGCCGCATATATGTATGTATGTATGTATGTATGTATGTATATATATATATATATATATATATATATTTATACATACACATATATACACACATACACACACTGCTGTGTGTGTGTGTGTGCTGTGTGAGGGTGCTGTTAGTGTGATGTGTGTGTGACGATGCTGGTAGTGTGCTATGTGGGTGAGGGTGTTTGTGTGTGCATGCTTGTGAGGATGCTGTTAATGTACTGTGTGTGAGGGTGCTGTTTGTGTGTGTGCGCTTGTGATGGTGCTGTTAATGTACTGTGTGTGATGGTGCTGCTTGTGTGTGAGGGTACTTATAGTGTGCTGTGTGTGTGTGAGGGTGCTGTATGTGTGTGAGGGTGCTGTATGTGTGTGTGGGTGCTGTATGTGTGTTGGTGCTGTGTATGTCTGTGGGTGCTGTGTATGGGTGCTGAATGTGTGTGGGTGCTGTGTATGTCTGTGCTGAATGTCTGTGGGTGCTGAATGTCTGTGGGTGCTCTGTATGTCTGTGGGTGCTGTGTATGTCTGTGGGTGCTGTATGTCTGTGGGTGCTGTGTATGTCTGTGGGTGCGCTGTATGTCTGTGGGTGCGCTGTATGTCTGTGG